TGGTTACACTGGCCTGTATTCTTGTGTGCTGATTGTAGTGATGGTGGTGTGGTGTGACTCAGGTCATCCTTTGTTTTCTTTTCTTCTTTTTTTGATCCCTACAGTCTAACTATTCTTCCACCTGTTGGGATTATCTTTTCTTTTTTTTTGTTTCTTAATGTTAATGTGTTTTGTGTGTTTTTTACTCTCTCTATGTGTTTATCCTATAATTATTATTATTGCTACTCCATTGTGTGTGTGTACTTGGGCTTGCACTGTGGTGATAATTATAATGAACTGCTTTTTGAAATTTGGAAAGAAAGAAATAATAATAACAGATGAATTTTTATATTTATAATTGCGTATATACGCACATATAGACTTGCACCCATAGTTGGTGTATATTTCTATGTGTTTACTGGATAAATTGGGCTAATGTTTAATATCTGTTTTGTTTGCTTGCTTGCTTGTGGTTTGTTGTGTGCATTGTCCTGCATTGTTATGATGATCTACTTTGAATAGTGAAAAAAAAACAGTAATTGTTAGACATAATTTCAGTATTGCTTATAAGCACCAGCATACCCAGTTTTCTGTGTAAATTGTGTGTATGTTGGGCATTGCGTTGTGCTTTTATTTTTTTTCTTCATTACTTCTTGTTTTGTTCGGGGTTTTTTAGTGGTGCCTCTTTATTGGATGCCTTATTGTTTATATTGGTAGTGTTGTATTGTGTGACTGTTGTTTTTGTTGTGTTCTGTTTTACCATATGTTTTTGTTTCTATCGTATGGGATCTTTTTTTTTACTTTTTCTCTTGGTTCTCTTTTTCTTTAACAAAGTGAAGTAAAACAACCAAGAATTACTATTGCCATGATGATGCGACCCGTTGTGTGTTTGCTGGTTTTTATGCTGAGTGCTATCTTTGTATGTGCGGAAGGTGACGCGAAATCATGTCCGCCAGCAGATGGAGATGGTGCTGGTGCTTCGGGGTGTACTTCTGATACTCGTCGTACTCATGAAACCACTACTACTGCTGGTACTGGAAGTAGTAGTAGTAGTGGTGGAATCTTTATATCTCTCCATGGTGAAGAAGATCACTACCGTGTGTCACCCTCTACTAAAGGCTCTAACTCTCATACCCCACGTGATCCTTCTTCTGCGACACTAGGTCAGGGTGGACTCCAAGGACAAGATCACGCGGATCGAACTGAGGTTCATGAAGATGGTAGTGCTGTTTCTTCAGATATCGAACACCGAGAAGGTCCAGTTCCAGACAGCATATCTTCATCATTAAGTGGTGCAGGACAACCGGGTACACAAGAAAGAGTACAAGGAACACATCCAACAGTAACAACTACGGAAGCACATTCACCTCAACTTGTTGATTCCAAACACACCGAAACACAAAGTGAATCTGAAACAGCCCCAGATAACAGTACTGTTAATCACAGTGGTGATGCTTCGCAGAATCCTTCACAAGCGACAGAGAATACTGCAGCAACGAATACAACTGCCACAACAGGCTCGGAAGAAACCAATTCCACTACTTTGTCAAGCACCGAGAACACTACCACAGAAGCACCAACCACAACTCCATCTCCTTCACCTGTACCCAACGCAGAGATCAGCACTATTGCCTCCACTCAGCAGAAGAATAAGGGTAATGCTGACAGCAGCAGAATCAGTTCTGTATGGGTACGTGTGCCACTACTGATTGTGGTTACACTGGCCAATGTTCTTGTGTGCTAATTGTGATTGTGGTGTGGTGTGACTCAGGTCATCCTTTGTTTTCTTTTCTCTTTTTTGCATGCATCCCTACAGTCTAACTAATCTTCCACCTGTTGGGATTATCTTCTTCTTTTTTTGTTTCTTAATGTTAATGTGTTTTGTGCGTTTTTGCTCTCTCTATGTTTATCCTATAATTATTATTGCTACTCCATTGTGTGTGTGTGTGTGTGTGTTCTTGGAGACTCTCACTCAGTGTGCCTGGGTTTGCACTGTGACAATGATAATGAACTGCTTTTTTGCAGTGGGAAAAAGAAAAGGAAATAATAATAAGAGATGAATTTATATTTATAATTGCGTATATACACATATAGACTTACACCCATAGTTGGTGTATTTCTGTGTTTACTGTGTAAAGTGGGATAATGATTAATATTTGTTTGTTTTTTGTGCTTATGGTTTGCTGAGTCGTTGTGCGTTGTGCCCTGTATCGTATGATGATTGGCGTTTTTTTTTTTTTTTGGATTCTTACTGAGTTTACTTTGGTGATATGTTTTCTGTAACTGGTTTGGTTTTTTATTTTTACATTATTGTGTTTTTTTTTTTGTGTTACTGTGTTTGATTACGTTTTTTTTTCTCATATTGTTTTTCATTTATCTAGTCCACTGCTTTTAAACGAAACCCACTATCACTATTTTGACTATGAGGGAAATGATGCACCGCGTGCCGTGTTTACTGGTTCTCATGCTTTGCTGCGCCTATGGGTGTGTGTCGACTACTCCAGCTGCCACTCAACCTGTACACCAACGATCTGGTCAACAATTCCGTGAGCAATCCGATCTTTATCCAGGTGTGCGTGGTATGAATTCTGCTGGTGACTCCGGTATTGCTGGTGTTGCTACTAATCCACCTAAGGAAAAGAATAAGAACACTCCTAACGTGAGTGTTTCTGTCCCTGGTTTAAATGAAGCGGCCACTACTACTACTGGTGTTCCTTTTCCTGGGTGTACTCTACCTGAGTCGGGTAACGTCGTTAATGGAAGAATCACTGGTAAGGACGGTGTTACTTGTGTTCCTGCTGTTCCTGGCTCTGTTCCTCCTCTTCCCAGTGGCCCGTCTCCAAAGCCTGAAGACGTCGAACGTAATCTAAGTCGTACCGACAAGAAAGTCCCCCATTCTAATGGTGAACCACTTCAATCAGAGTTTCATTCGCCCAAAGGTACTGGACTTAAACCTGATGTTCCACCCAATGCTTCTAAATTTCCTCACGGTTCTAAATTTCCCGGTGTTTCTGGTGCTGTTCCTATTGTTCATAATAAACCTGATATTCCTGAATATCCTGGTGTGCCTGAAGCTGCTCTTCATGTTGGTAATGGCAGCAGTGAAGCGGGTCGTGTTCGTTTTTCTCGTCCTGTTACTCATGCCACGGATGCTCAATCCCACAGTAATACAGATTCCTCAGATACTGCAAGCACTCAAACTGAAGAGAACAATAATCAAGCAGAGACTGCTGCAGCACCTTCAACTAATGAGGTGAGTGGTACTTCTGCACAGAGTGCACCAACAAGGAACACTCCCAATACACCCACTAAGGTGACTCCACCCGCAATACCAACAATACTGCAACCTCCTATGCCTCCAAAAAGCGAGACCAAACCACCCAAGAAGCGTAAGGCAGACAGCAGCAGCATCAGTTCTGTGTGGGTACGTGTGCCACTACTGATTGTGGCTGTGTTGGTCTCCGTTACCGTGTACTGAACGGTGGGACTCATCAGAGGAGAAAGAAAAATAATGTTACACTAACATAATCATATTTGCGTACATCCCCCATGGGGTGAATAAAATTAATAATCTGTTTACCAGCTTTCTCTCTTAATTCGAATTTCTTTTCTTTTACTTTTGTGTGATTTTTTTTTCTAATAATTCCATTACTTGCTTTTCCCGTTGTGTGTGTTTGCAGAAAACTGGGCTGTTCTGCTCACTGACGGTATACATCTCTTGCTAGTACACACAGATGTGTGTGTGCAGTAATTTAATACGTAATCTAGAGCCATGGGGTATTGTGTGTGTGTTTGGCTCTCTTTCTTATTTGGTTATTGTGGGGTCTTTTCTTTTCTTTTCTATTAATGGGTACATATTATCACTACAAGTGGGCTATTCCATTTTCTTGCTTTACTGTGCAGTTGCTGCTTCTCTCTCTATTCCACTGTGAGTATTTGTTGTATTGGTGTATGTTTGTTTGTTTCTATCTCAATTATTTCCTTCTGTTCCTCTTTCTTCCTTGTATTAGTCTATTGAAGTAAACCACAACGATGACAAAGGCTGTAATGGTGAGGTGCTACCTGTTCTGTTTATTAACTCTTGCACTGTGTTGTGCTTGTGGGTTAGTATAGGCTGATGATCCTAAGACTTCTGATGTCCAGTAAATGTGTTAATTATGTTGTATTTCCTCCTTTTTTTGTTAAGATTGATTCTTGCGATGAGGCCCGTAATGCTACTAAGGCTGTTGAAGCTACAGAAAGTTCATCAGGTAAACCGGGTCCCGATAGTCCTGGTGATTATACTGGGAGAGAAGTTAACCAAGTCACTACGAATTCGCATCAAGAGGAACAAGTACCCCAAAGAGATCACGAAGAGAATACCGTTAATTCTGAAACTGATATAAGAAGAGGAAGTCCGAATGTTGAGCAAACCCTAAAAGGAGACGGTACCCCATCAAGTACTCCGGTAAACAACAACTCTGTTAATACCCTTCAATCTGTAGAAGGACGGATTACAAAACCAACAGAAGTGCATCCCCTTCCAGCTTCTACTGTTCCTAATGGACAACAGTCAGGTGAGGCCACTTCTGTATCAACACAAGTAAATAGAGAGAACCCAATAGTCTCAGAATCTGCACCTAATGGTGGCAAGCATAGGAGTCCACATGAGAACACATCACCGCTGCAAGAACAAGAAGTAGGAAGTGCAACCACTCGGGGTTCACAAGTGGCACCCAACACTGATGAGTCATACGGGACAGGGAACAAACAGTCAACAACGACCTCTGACACTATCACTGCACCCAATAGTGAGGAATCAACTTCAACCACCACCACAACAACAACAACAACACTTCCTCCTGAACTCACAAACAACAAGAAGGGTGATGCAGACAGCAGCAGCAGTATCAGCAGTTCTGTGTGGGTGCGTGTA